CTGGCCCCGCGGGTCTGACCTACGCGCGCGGCGCCGGCGACGGCGCCTTCGCGGCCGTCGCGTCGACGCCGGCCGTCGACGCCGGCGGCGGCGCCGCGCTGGACCTCGAGCCCCTCGGCGGCGCCGGCGCCGCGCCCTGCGGCGTCGTCATCAGCGGCACCGTCGGCGACGGCGCGACGCTGGACGCGCGGCTCGCCGTCCTCGACGGCGTCGCCGTCCTCGAGCCGTCGGCGTACCCGCTCGCCGGCTTCGGCGCGCTGCCCGCCGCGCGCCTGCGCTGCGACGTCGGCCGCCTCCTCGCCGCGCGCTGGCCCGCCGCGCCGGCGCCGGCGCCGGCGCCCGCGGCGCCCGCGGCGCCCGCGGCCGTCGCGGCGCTCGCCGCGTTTACCGCGCGCGCGCGGCTCGGCGGCCTCGAGGTCGACGTCGACGCGCGCATCGCGTACCGCGCCGGCGGCGGCCAATCCTGGACCTGCGACGCGGACGCGTCGCGCGTCGCGGTCGCGTTCGACGGGGAGCCGCTCCTGCCGACGCTGCGCCGCGCGCGTTTTCGCGCCGCGGCCGGCGCGCGCGAGGTCTCCGTCGGCGACGCGCTCGACTGCGAGTGGTCCGAGGCGGACCTGCGGACGGCGGCGGCGGCGCTGCGCGCGCTGGCCGCCGGGGGGCTCGAGGCCGCGGGCGCCGCGGGGCTACCGGAGGCGCGCGACGCCGCGGCGCGCGCGTGGTGCGCCGCGCTCGGCGCCGTCGCCGGCGCCCTGAGTAGCGCCGCGCCGCCGCCGATGTCGCCGGCGGAGCGCACGGTCGCCTTCGCCGGGCGGACGCTCGGCCTCGTGCTCGGCGCGCGCGGCGGCGGCGTCTACGTCGACGACGCGACGGCCGCGACGGCCGCGCTCGGCGTCGCCGTCGGCGACCGCGTCGCCGCGGTCGGCGGCGACGGCATCCCCGAAAACGCGGTCGTCGCCGACGTCGCGGCGCGCGTCGCCCGGGCGCCGCGGCCCCTCGCCGTGACCTTTACTCGCGCGGCGCCCGCCGCGGCCGCGGCCGCGGACGGCCCGGCCTGGCGCCTCGTCGTCGCCGGGGGCGCGGCGCTCACGGTGCGCGGCGCCGACGGCGACCGCCGCTGGCGCGTCGGCCTCGCGCGCGCCTTCGCGGGCGCGACGGCGGGCGCGGTCGTCGGCTGTCGCTTCGACGCGCGGCGCGCGGGCGCGTGGGAGCCGCTCCTGGAGCCCTGCGCCCTCTCCTACGACTGCGGCGGCGGCGCGACGCGCGTGACCCTCGCGGGCGCGCCGCCGGGCGCACCGCTCGACGGCGACGGCGACGGCGGCCGCGTCCGCGTCAACGCGTCGACGGCGCTGCTCCGAAACGCCAAGGCGCTCGCCGACGCCGTCCGCGCGGCCGCGGCGCCCGCGGCCGCGGCGCCGGGCGGGTCGCCGGCGCGGCTCGTCGTCAAGGTCGACGCGGCGCGCGTGTCCCTCGTCGAGGGCGGCGACGACGCGCCCCAGGCCGAGGCCCTCGTCGCGTCGCTCGACGGGCTCGAGCTCGGCTACGACGGCGGCGGCGCCGCGGCGACCGCGTCCGTCTTCCTGCGGTCCGCGCAGGTCGACGCGCACTTCCGGGGCCTGCGCTCTTCGTCCTTCCCCGTGATCCTGCGCCCGACGCCGCTGCGCGCGAAGCTCGCCGAGGTCCTGGGCAGGGCAGCAAAAGGGTGCGAAATTCCCAACTTCAAAGGCTCATATCTCGGCCGTTTCCCACTCGTTTTGGCTGATTTTTGGACGAGCGATCATCTCTTGGAACGGTCTCGAAGCGTGGGTGCTTTTCTCGGAACGCGCGCGCGCGGAACACTCACGTTGAAGCGACGTTGAATCTCTCTTGTCCTGCCCAGGTCCTGGGCGGCGAGGACGACGGGCCCCCGCGGCCCGTGCTCGACGCGTCCGCGACGTTCCGCGGCGGCGCCGTCGCGGACCTCGACGTCGACCTCGGCCGGAGCCTGGACCTCTTCGTCGACGAGGCCGCGGCGCTCCGCGCGCTCGCGCTCTGGCGGTCCTACGCGGCCGTCTTCGCTGCCCCGGGAGCGGCCGCGCCCCGCGCCGCGGGCGTCGCGCTCGACCGCGTCCACGTGTCCAAGCTCCGCGCGCGGCTCTCCGTGCGCTGGTCGAGCGAGGAGAGCGAGCGCGAGCGCGCGGCGCGGGAGCGCGCCGGCGAGCTCGCGCCGTCGGCGTCGTCGCCGGACCTCGCGGCCGCGGACGCGCCGTCGATCCCGCGGCAGCTCCTCGACGTCTTCGCGGCCGTCGAGCGGTCGCGCGTGACGCTGCCGGCGCTGGACCTCGAGGAGCGCCTCGACGTCGCGACGCTCGGCGCCCTCGCCGGCGCCCACTACCAGCGCGGCGCCGCGCGGAACGCGCTCGAGATCGCCGGGTCGCTCCGCGCGCTCGGCAACCCGCTCGGCCTCGCGCGGGGCGTGCTCCGGGGTCTGGAGGACGCCGTGCGCGAGCCGCTCCTGGGCCTGCTGGCGGCCATCGACGACGACGCGCCGGAGGCCTTCGCGCTGGGCGTCGAGCGGGGCAGCAAAAGAGAGCGAAATTCCCAACTTCAAAGGCTCCTTTCTCGGCCGTTTTCCACTCGTTTCGGCTGATTCTTGGACGAGCGATCATCTCTTGGAACGGCCTCGACGCGTGGATGCTTTTTTCCGGAACGCGCGCGCGCGGAACACTCACGTTGAAGCGAACTTGAATCACCCTTGTGCTGCCCAGGCGTCGAGCGCGGCGCGCGGTCGCTCGCGAAGCACGCCGTCGGCGGCACCGCGGCGTCGCTCGCGCAGATCACGGGCAACTTCTCCAAGGCCGCGAGCCACCTCGCCCTCGACGACGAGTACCGCGTGCGCCAGCAGCGCAAGGAGGACCGGCGGCGCGGCGCGGACGCGGGCCGCGGCGACGGCGCGCGCGACGAGCCCGCGCCGATCCTCGACGGCCTGGCGAACGGCTTCGACAGCGCCGTCGGCGGCGTCGTCGACGGCGTCACGGGCCTCGTCCAGGCGCCGATCCGCGGCGTGGAGGAGGGCGGCGTCGTGGGGGGCATCGTCGGCGTCGGCGCGGGCGTGCTCGGGTTGGTGGTGAAGCCCGTCGTCGGCCGCGTGGAAATCAAATCTTCAACCCGACTTAAATGTGCGCGTATGCGACCGTTTCGACGCGAGGCTTTCTGCCGTGCTTCGAGAACTCGACGAGAGCAATCGATCCGTCCAAAAATCAGCCGAATCGACTTCGATTTGATCGAGCTAGAGAGGTTTGAGGTTTGGTGGGGACCCCCCAAACCAGTGGTTGATTTCCACGCAGGTCGTCGGCGTCGCGGACGCGGCGACGGACGTGCTCCGCGGCATCCGCGACACGACGCAGGCCCCGGAGGAGCCCGGCGAGGCGCCGCTCCCGCGGAGCGGCTCGAGCCGCGACCTGCGGGGGGGGGACGGCGAGGACGACGACGCGCCCGCGCGGCAGCGGCCGAGCCGCGCGCTCTACGGGCGCTTCCGCCACCTCCGCCGCTTCAGCCACGCGGACGCGCGCGCCGCCGCGGCGCTCCGGGCCGCGGCGGCCGCGGGCGAGGCCTACGAGCCGCCGGACCTCGACGCGTTCCTCGCGCGCGCGCCGCTCGACGAAAACGGCACCGAGCTCGTCGTCGCGCGCGGCGGCCTCGCGGTCTTCGGGCCCGGCGCGCCGCGGCCCCACCTCTTCGCGCCGCCGGACGCGCTCCTCGGCTGCAAGCTCGACGCGGCGGACCCGGGCTCCGCGCTCCTCCTCCTCAGGCCCGCGCCGGGCGACGACGAGCCCGCGCGGTACCGCGTCCGCTTCGACGGCGACGCCGCCGGCGCCGCGCTCGCGGCCCACGTGAGCGACTTCGTGAGCGAGCGGCTGCAGTAGCGCGGTTGGGTTTTTTTGTGTCGTTGTAAAATATCCTTATTGGGTAAAATTTTTACTTTGTCCTTAATTTTGCGTCCAACTGGTCACGTTGCCTCGACGCGTCTCTAAACGTAGGGGGCCCAGGAGGAACCGCGGGAGTCGGAGGATCTGGGGAGTCGGCCTCAGGCTCAGCCGGAGCTGGCCTGGTACGTTGCCGAACGTCTTGCCGAACTCTCTCTCTAGCGCATTAGGCGACACACCCCGCCTACGCGCCTCGGCTTAGCCGAGGACGACTCCTCAAAAACCCGGTCGCACTACAAGTACGCCTACGACTACGGCTACGGCGGCTACGGCAACCCCGAGGCGGCGGCGCCCAAGAAGAAGAAGAAGAAGAAGAAGAAGAAGAAGAAGAAGAAGTCCGGCGGCGGCGGCAGCGGGGGCGACGCCGCGCTCGCGGCCTACGGGTACGCCGCGGACGCCTCCGCCGACGCGACGTAAGGAACACAGACGTGTTTAGACAGGGGGGGGGGTGGGTGCTGGCGGCGGCGGCGGGCGCTCGGGCGCGCGGCGCTGGGGATCGGGGATCGGGGCTCGGGGTTCGGCGCGTCCGCGCCGGCCTCGGGGGGGGGGCGGGGTCGCGCGGGGCGCGCTCACTCCGCCTCGGGCTTGAGGTCCTCCTCGCCCTTGGCGTCCGCGGCGGCCTGGAGGTCGGCGTTGAAGTCCGTGATGTCGCGGACCTTGTACCAGCCCCAGAAGGCGATGATGGGCCAGTAGATGACCCAGATGATGAGCTCGAGGTTCGTGATCGCCGGGCGGTACCAGAAGAGGACCATCATGAGGAAGAAGAAGCCGTTCTTGGTGTCGCAGCAGCCCGTGATGTCCCAGACCTCCTCGTTGGGCCAGGCGATGGACTGGCCCTTGCCGTCGCACGACTTGGCGCGCTCGGTGACGAGCTTGCGGCCGTAGGCCTCGGGCACCTGCTCGACGAGCGCGTCGTACCAGGGCTCGGCCTCGAGGCGGCGGTAGGAGTGCCACGACGCGTCGGCCTCGTCGTCGTCGCAGTTCTCCTCCTCCCAGTCGCCGTCGGGCCGCGCGCCGATCTCCTCGAGCGCGTCGAAGTACGCCGCGCCGTCGTCGATCGACGAGCCGTCGGCGCACGCGCCCATGCCCTCGATGGGCGACCCGTCGCCGGCCTGGAGGCCGCCGACGTCGGCGCAGGTGATGCCCAGGCAGGCGTAGGTGGACTCGAGGGCGGCCTTGACGGCCGCGAAGCCGCCGGGCACGAGGTCGCCGGCCGTGGCCTCGTCGATGACGTCGGGAGCCTCGAGCGCCGCGGCGAGCGCGGCGCCGGCGCTCGCGTCGCAGGCGTGGACGCGGGGGAGTAGGGCGTAGCCGAAGGCGTGGAACTCGGCCCAGACCTTGCCGTCGCTGCCGAGGGCCTCCGCGGTGCCCTCGGGCGACGACCGGTACGCGTAGCGGAGCGTGCCCTGGACCAGGGGCACGGTCATCTGCGCGACGATGTCGTCGACGTAGGCGCGCGCGTCGCCGCAGCGGTCCGCGTCCTGGATGTCCTTGAGGCCCGCCTCGTAGAGGCGCAGGAGCTTGGCGTTCGCGTTCGCGGCCGCGCCCTCGTCCTCGGAGCGCCAGGCCGGTAGGCCGTCGTCCGCGCACGTGCCGAAGTTGGCGCAGCGGCGCTCGCCGAGGCCGTAGCCGAGGGCGCCGCGCTCGTCGCCGTCGGCGCCCGTCGTCGAGCCGGCGTAGAAGGCCCAGCCCTCGTCCCACGCGTGCGGCGCGGCCTCGTCGACGTCGCCGGCCTCGCACTTGCCGAGCGCGCTGTAGAGCTCGTGCGTCGAGTAGATCCACGTGTGCTGGTACTGGGCGCCCTTGAGGGCGAGCTCGACGGCCATGGCGTCGCTGAGCGTCGCCGTCGCGAAGAGCGCCGGCCGCGGGTCGACCTTGGCCGACGAGTCGTCCGAGAGGCGGTCCCAGAGCGCCGCGCGGACGTAGTCGTCCGCGTACTTGGCGTTCTGGTGGTAGGCCATGTACTCGTCGAAGGTCTTCTCGCCGCTCAGGTCCTTGGAGAAGCCGCGGAGCGTGCGCAGGCCGTCGCCCTTGGCGCTGTGCGCGCCGTCGGCGTAGACGGCCCACGCGGCGTCCCATTCGCCCGCCTCGAGCGCGGCCTCGAAGTCGAGCACGTCGAGGTCGATGGCCGCGTGGGGCGCGATGTCCGTGTAGGGCGCGTAGGACGCGTACGTGCCGAAGAGCGCCGGGTTCGCGGGCACCCAGACGTCGTCGCAGATGCGCTTGCAGGCCCAGGCCCCGAAGGCCTCGCCCTTCTGGAACTCGTAGGACGCGTGGGACCCGAGGCCCGCGGCGATGAGGGCCAGGAAGCCCGCGGAGAACTTGAAGAAGAGCGACAGGTCCATCTTGTTCGTGCCGACGAACATCGACGCGCCGAACGCGACGCCCGCGAAGATGCCCGTGACGATGGGGATGGGCATGGACTCGGGCCTGTAGGCCGCGCCGAAGCCGACGACGAAGATGGCCGCCTCGAAGCCCTCGCGGAGCACGGACGTGAACGAGAGCGTAAAGAAGCCGTACTCGTTCGTCTTGTCGATCTGCGCCTGCACGAGCTCGTCCATGTTGCGCTCCCACTTGACCTGCCAACTCCCGGACGACTTCATGCCCGGGGCGAGGTGCGTGACGAGGAAGTAGGTGATGACGACGCACGCGAAGCCGAGCATGCCGCCCTCGACGACGAACGCCGTCGTCGTCGTCATCGTCGACTTCTGCGTGTAGTAGATGGAGAGGATGACGACGCCGATGGCGACGGATGCCGCGCCGCCGACGGCGGCGCCGAGCCAGACCTGGCGCTTCAGGTGCTTGGCGTCCGCGCGGTTGAGGTACTGGATGAGCACCGCGACGAGCACCGCGGCCTCGAGCGTCTCGCGGAAGAGCACGAAGAACGCGGGGATGCAGAACCAGTCGTTGAAGTCCTGGACGCCCATGGTCTGGGCGTGTTTCTTAAGCCCCTCGGGGGGCTTTGGAACGTGGGTGGAGTGGTGTCGGCTTCGACGGAAGCCGAGGGAATGTTTCGAGCGTCGAGGGCGCTCGCGGGACCGGTTTTTTTTTCCCCGACGCGTGCCCGGGGCCTCGGAGGGGAGACTAGGGGCGCGGGGGGAGGTCGCACTGGACGGGAAGAGGTGGCGAAGAAGCACGACAACCTCAGATGCCGCGCGCCGACCGCTGACGTCTCGGCGCGTGCCCTCTGCACGTGCCCTGCATCGCCGGGGAGAGTGGGGCTCGTTATGCGAGGAAAGAGGCCGTTTCGGAAGCTCCAAGTGCCCGCCTACGCGTCCCGCACCATCGTCCTTCGCGTCGTGCGCGCGTCACCCCCGGCGAACCCACCTAGGCACCCTCATGTGCTGAAGCTGATGAAAATCTCGAGGGGTGGGTCGAGCGACCCACCTTGCAAGCGTCCGGTGCGCCCATCCGCCCCCCCCCCCCCGACGCCCCTCAGCGCCCCCCACACGTCTCGACGCCCTTGTAGTACGAACATGAGTCAAGACGGCCGTCCGAGTCCGAGCCCCCCGTGTGCGACGGGCGCCCGGATGGCGACGCGCCGCCCTAATGCACGTAGGCCCGCAGCGCCCGGCACGCCCGCCACGCGTCGTCCGCGGCGGCGAGGAAGTCGAAGAGGCTCAGGCGGGGCCGCGCCTCGCTCCGGTTCGCGGCGCGGACCGCGCGCGCGTGGACCGCGTAGGCGAAGGTCGCAGCCGCGTGGAGCGCGCGGCGCACGTGGGCCTTCGACGACGGCCGGAGGTGCGCGACGGCGGGCGCCGCGGCGTCCGCGGCGGCGGCGAAGAGGTCCCGGAGGTTCGCCGCGGCGGCCTCCTTGCCGAGGAGCGCGGCGTCGAGGAGCGGCGGCCGCGCGCGCGCGCGGACCGCGCGACGCAGCCTGTCGAGGAGCGCCGCGTCGCGCGGCGCCGCGCGGCCGAAGCGCCCCGCCGGCGGCCCCCGCGGCGGCGCCGGCCGCGGCGCCGCGCGCGCGGCGACGGCGCCGCCGGAGAGCGCGACGTCGACGCCGCAGAACGAGAGCGCGGCCGCCGCGGGGGTTTCGCCGCGGGCGAAGGTCGCGCGCGCCTTGGCGGCGTTGACGACGATGCCCAGGGGCGGCCCGTGGACCGCGTAGGCGTCCGCGAGCGCGGCGAGCGCGCCGCGGGGCCCGACGGCGAACGTGTCGTCGACGACGCGCGCGGCGCGGCACCCCGGCGGCGCGCGCGCGCGCTCGAAGGCGCCGTAGTAGAGGTCGCAGAGCACGGCGGAGGCGACGGAGCCCTGGGGGATGCCGGAGACCTGGCGGAAGCACGCGCCGCGGAGCCGCGCGGCGTGGCCCGACACGTGGCGCCGGAGCTCCGCGACGACGGCGTCGCGGCGCACGAGCCGCGTCCGGGGCGCCGCGCCCGGCGCGCCCGGCGTCGCCCGCTTCCCGCCGTGGATGCGGTAGGTCTCGCAGACCAGCGCGCCCTCGGCGACGTCGAGGAGCCGGGCCTGGTCGATGCCGTCGAAGCACCGCGCCGCGTCGAGCGTGAGCCCCTCCGCGTCCCCCGCGTCCTTGGCGGCCCGGAGGCAGCGCCAGAGCGCGTCGGGCGCCCCGCCGAAGCCCAGCAGCGCCGGGTTCCGCCGCGCCTCGAGGCGGAGGGCCAGCGCGCAGTCGTGGAGCGACGCCGCGCCCGGCGGCCGCGCGCCGCGCGGCCGCGCGCCGAGCCGCTGCACGACGCGGACGCCGCCGCCGTCCTTGGGCTCGGCCGCGAGGGTCGCGCACCCCGCCGGCGCATCGTCCACCGCCGCGAGGGCCGGGCAGGCGCGCACCGCCGCGGCCTCGACCGCGTCAAAGTCCGCGCGGCGGTAGTACGCGACGCGCCCCCGCGGGAACTTCACAACGAAGCGCGCGGCGACGAGCCCCGCGGCGACGTCGAAGAAGACCCAGGCGAGGAAGCGCTCCAGCAGCTCCCGGCTCCGCCGCAGGTCCGACGGCGGCCGCGCGCGCCGCGTCGGCGCGCCGCGCGGCCACGCGACGTCGGACTCGCGGAGCGCCTCGCGGAGCCGCCGCGGCGTCACAGCGTCGCCCGCGCCGAGGCGGAAGAGCGCGTCGAGCGCGCCGAGCGCGGCCCGCTCGTTGCGCGCCGAGCCCCAGAGCGCCACCGGCACGACGCGCCGCACGACGCGGCACGCGAAGCGCGCGACGACCGCCGCGTCGACGCGCGCCGCCGCCGCGTCGCCCCGGCGGCGCGCGGGGCCGCAGGTCGCGTCGAAGACGCGGCCGACGGGCGCGCGCGCGTAGTTGGCTTTGAGCCGGGCGAAGAGCGGCAGCGCGCCCGCGAGGCGCCGCCGCGTCCGCCGGTCGTCCGCCCGCGAACCGAAGACCGCGCGCGCGACGGCGCGGCCGTCGCCGCGCGCGGCGCCGGCGCGCGACTCCAGGACGTGGCCCGGCGGCAGGGCGCGGGTCCACGTCGCGGCGAAGCGCGGGCCGCGCGCGAGGTCCCGCGGCGAGAAGGTCGCGGCGTCGCGGGGCCGCGCGACGTCGCCGCGGCCCGCGGCGTCGCGCCGCGCGTTCGACGCCGCGAGCGCGGCGGCCGCGACGCCGGGCGCCGCGAAGAGCCGCGCGAGGGCCGCGTTGGCCGCGGGCGCGGGCGCGGCGTCGCCGTTCAGCGACCGGCCGCCGTAGTCGGACACGCGCGCGGCGTAGGAGACGACGGCCGGCGGCTCGAGCGCGCCGGCCGCGCGCGACGCCGCGCGGCCCCAGACCGCGAGCGTCCGAGGAGCGAGCGCGGCGTCGACGAGCTCGACCTCGCGCTTCTCGACGACGGCGCCGGTCCACGTGCGCACGTCCTTGTACGGGCCGACCCAGCGCACGACGCCGACGCCGGCGACCTTGGCGCCCTTGGCGTGCGCCTCGAGCGCGCCCAGCTGGCGCTCCATCTCAGCCCTCGACGGTGACGACCTTGAAGAGCGAGAAGAGGATGACGAGCACGATGATCGCCTCCGCGACTTGCACGGGCCGGATCATGTGCGGGTGGTGGCGGCGCGCGACGACGACGGCGCGCAGATGCAGGCGGCTTGCTCGAGTCGGAGCGCTGCAACTTTGGAGAGCTTGAACGGCAACATTGGCCAAAGGTACACTGGTCGTCGCGTACTCAGGACGGCCTTATCTCCGCGACTAAGGGGTTCCCACCGCCGCCGTCGGCGAGCGCCGCCTCCTCCGAGTCGTCCTCGTCCTCTGACCTCGAATGCTATGCTGCAACAGTGGTGATCAGGCCCACTTTCCTTACAACGCCCCGCGAAACGTGTCGTTGTAGTAGAGGCCCGTGAGGTACTGGGCGGCGACGAGGTCCCAGAAGGGCGCGTCGACGACGCCGCTCGTGAAGTCGGCCTGGGAGCAGTACTGGTTGTTCGCGGGCCAGCACGTCGTCGCGTTGAGCGCCGCGGGCGTCGCGCCGTCGTGCTGAAACAAATAGAAGTTGTACCTTTGCGACGGTCCGGGCCCGTGGCGCGGGAAGTCGCCGGCCCAGTACTGGTCCGCGTTCGCGACGTCGCCGGCGCCCGACAGCGTCGCCGCGTCGATGTTGGCCGCGACGTAGTGGACGTGGACGAGGCCCTCCTCGCTGTTGTCCGGGAAGCTCTTGTCGCAGTGGGAGCAGGTGGAGATGTAGACGAGCGTGTAGGCCTTGGCCGGGCTCGCCGGCGCGAAGGTTACGGTCGGCACGGTGGCGACGTCGGACTTGATGAAGAGGTTCCCGCAGTCGACTTTCGAGGCGTAGTACGGAATGTCGTACCGGATGTCGAGGGCCGCGGAGCAGTTCACGTCGAGGGCGCCCTCGGCCCCGAGGACCAGGGCGGCGAGGGCGGTGAAGCGCTGGCAGCGGCGTGCCATTTCGGGGCAGCCACCGAGGAGAATGCAGGCAACCAGCGGCCTGTTGAACCGCCGGTGCCGCCATGTTGCCGCGGGCTGCTTCCTCCATCCATCCGAGAACGAGCTCGTCTCGCGCCCATCAGCCACGATGTTCCCGCTCTCCTGTGGTGCGTTGTTTTTGCACGCAGCGCGCTGTGTGGCGTCGCTCGATCGTCTTCTCCGCAGGTCAAGCCGCCGTGGCCGTGGCCGCGACGACCGTCTCGGCCAAGCTGTACATGTCCTTCGGTATCCGGGCCAAGATGATGGGCATGTCGGACGAGGAGAAGGAGAAATTCCAGCCGACCTACGAGAAGGTCCACAACGCGCAGCTCAACGAGGCCGAATACGCGCCCCTCATGGTCGCGCTGCTCCTCTACATGCACACGAAGGGCGTCGAGGCCCCATACGCGGCGACGATGGCCGGCGTGAGCGGCGCGATCTACTTCTGGGGCAAGGTGCTCACGGGCAAGTTCATCTTCACGCCGATGGGCGCGCTGCCGCGCTTCGTCGCGTGCATCCTCCTCACCGTCGCGACGTACAAGGCGCTGTGACGGTCGCGAGAGGTGCGGCTTCGGACCCGCGGGGCGATTGGCGAGCGACTAAAGGAGACCGCGCGGCTTGTGCACTTCACTCACCTCAGCTTAGGCCTCCGGGAAAGGGCCACGCCTTCGGACCGCACCCTTCACTTCAACGTGTGCGACTTTTGCCTCAACAACGACCCGTGCCTCAACAAACGGAGTGAAGCCCTTGTCAGCCGTCTCAAAGAACTCAGCGTGGCACCGTCGTTCGCGCCGCCGCCTGACTCATCCCCGTCTCAGCCCTCTACAACAATCTCTGTTCTCATCATGGTCCGTTCGCGCGCCATCGCGTTCTGCGTCGCCGTCCTGGCCTCCACCGCTTCGGCGTTCGCCCCGACACGTGCGGCTGCGTCAGCATCACCGGCGGCGCGCTCGACCGGCCTCCATTCGCTCAAACGCTCCGTCGACGAGCTGCGCTACAACGCGATGATGAACTTCGTCGGGGTTTTGTTCTCCGGCGGCGGCGACTCGACCGGCGGCGTCCTGCCGAACGCGGCGCCGCCGACCCGACGGAGGGCCGCCGCCGCCGCGCCCGCGCCCGCGCGGCGGCCGGCGCCCGCGCCGCCCGCGAACCTCGTCGAGGCGAGCGACACCTGCGTCGTTTCCATGGTTCCCGAGCTCTCCGCGCTGGGGAAGAACCAGGTCCTGCACATTCCCAGCCACTACTTGTGAGGTGGCACCCGCGTTCGCGCCCAGCGCGGGGCCCCAGGCTCCGCGTCCGTTGTTTAATCCGCTGTGCATACGAGGGTTCCCGGGGCGCGGCGCCGGGCGACCATAGACTCGCCAACGTCGCCAACGCCACCAACGTCACCGCGCGCACGCGGCGGCTCCGCGGGTCCGATTCGTCCGGCGCGGCCTGTGCACAGGGACTCCAGCGCAATTTGCGTCGCTGTCTTAGCACCGGTGCCTCTAAGAGAGGTCGCGGGCGGGCGTCCGAGGCGGTCTTTTCGGCCGCCCGGGGCCCGTGAAATTACTGGCGTAGTAATATTACTAGGCGTATTACTCGCCAGACGACGTCGACGCGGTTGGCCTCAGGGAATCATCTGCGATTCGTCTCCCGCTGATCGATTTTCTGCCGAACAACGACGCACAACAACGTCGTCGTCACAACACCTTACGCTCGCTTCACACCCGCCGCTTCATCGCCTGACAGCATGGCGCCGCTCTCCAAACTCCTTTTTGCTCCCATCGTTTCAAATCTTGCGCACGGCCTCCTCGCGAGCGATCCGCGGCTCAAGTCTTCCGTCAGCGGGCGCGCCCCCCACCGCGAGCGCGCGGTGTCGACCCTCGACCCCCCCCCGTTCCGCGAATACAAAAGTTCGCAAACGCAAACGCGCGCGCGCCGCAGGCGACGACGCGGAGGAGACGCGGACCTACGTCGTCGACGACGAGCCGCCGGCGCGCCCGCGGGCAAGCCCGCGCGCGGTCCCGATCTACGGGCGCACGCGCTTCCTGCGGCTCCAGGCGCGCAGCCTCTGGCGCGCCGCGGACGGCAACCCGCTCCGGGTCCACCGCGTCCTCATGGGCCCCGTCGAGGCCGTGGAGTGGTACCGGCCGCAGTTCCGCGCGGGCGTCGTCGCCGCGGCGTATCTCGCCTACCCGGTCGTCGTCGACGTGCTCTCGCGCCTCCCGCCGCCGAACAGCGTCGAGGGCCAGTACTACTTCTCGCTCATCTCCATCGTCTACGCGACGCTGACCGCGGCGACGATCACGGACGCGTCGACGCGCCTGTCGGCGCTCCGCGCGGCGGCCGTCGACGAGTCGTCCATGCTTTTGCCCCTCGTGAAGCGCCTCGAGGCCGCGCGCCTCGACGGCGCCGTCTTCAAGTACGCCGCGGGCCGCCTCTGGGACCACGCGTCCCTGTTCATCTCGTCGAGCCGCGCCTACGAGCTCGAGGCCATCGGCGCCTGCGACGACGCGCTCGTCGAAGTCCTCGAGATCCTCCTCGCCTACGACCAGGCGAACGACGACGTCGACCTCCGCGATGCCATGGCCTCGGCGGAGAAGCTCATCGAGGCGCGCGGCCGCCGCCTGAGCCTCGAGAACTCCTCGGTCCCGCAGACGCAGTACGACGTGCTCAAGGCGCTCTCCGCCGCGCTCGTCCTCGCCTACGCGTACCTGACGCTAGACGCGGCCCCGGAGACGACGGCCTTCGGCTTCGAGGGCGGGGCCTTCGACGCGTCCATCGGCGTCCGCGTGCTCTTCTCCTGCGTCGCCGGCGCGCTCGTCGTCTTC